CTTAATATAAAAAAATTATAAATATTAATTATATATTGTATGACTTTTATTAGAAGTAATTATTAACTTTCATTTTTTGTGTATTAATATTTTTGTACCAGATCATACTATATTATAATTAATTTATATAAATATATCTTATATGTTAGTTAAAATTCAATAATTAATTAGATTGATAAATAATTTGTAAAGTATTTCAAGTTATATATTATATTAATTTGAGCTTGAAAAATAAATTATTTATAAAAACTATCTTGTTATTGACTTAATTAAAATTATTTGAAAGATTTATTATTTTGTATTATAATAAAATTATTAAAATTAGTAAAATATTTTTTATCAGATAATTTCAATTTATTATAAAACTTATTTTACTTATTTCACCTAATATATTATATAATATTATTTATATAATTATTATTAATTTTTCTTTTTTAAAAAAATTATTTAATAAAAGATATTTCTTTTATTTAATATTATTTTAATTTGTTATTAAAATAAATATATATTATTTATCTTTAAATAAAATTCTTAGTTTTTCTTATATTAACTTAATTTTTTCTATTTTTAACTTGATAAAAATATATGTATAACATATATAAACTTAAAATAGTAATAATATTATTATTACTTATAAATTCTATTTTCTACTTAATATAAAAACAATTTTAAAACAATATAATACTAATATTCTTTAGCAATCTGATTAATAATTTAATATAATATACAATAATGCAAGTATTTTATAAATTATATATTAAATAAAGAAATTATATTGATAAATTATAAATTTACTTTTGAAAACATATCTTCAAACTATTAAAAATCTCTTTGAATATTCCTTTGAATATTATAAATATTCTTGATTAATTCAAAATTCAATTAAAAAGATAACAATAATTAATATTCAAATAATATTAATTAATTAAATTTATTTGAAAATTCAAACTTATACTTTAATAAATTGTGAGTAATTAATTAAATTATAATATAAAATTTTAAAAAATAAATATTTCAAAAAATTGCTTATTTTTTAATTTGTAAATATTTATATTGATCAAGCAAACAAATTTGTTTACAAATTCAATTTGTAATTAGATTTTAATAATAATATCAAAATATAATTATATAAATTATATTTGAAATTTTATATAAATTGGTTCAAGCCAAATCTTGACTTATTTGATTTGTTTTAATTCATGAACTAATATATTTTTTTTATAAATTTAATTATTTTAAAAGTTAAAAAGATATTTTTAGAATATAAACTAAGAAATTGCTTGAATTTAATTATTTAATTTTGAAATATAATTTTTCAAAATTTTATTTTTTTCAAATTTACTGATTATTGTTAAAACAAGTTTAATATTTAAAAACAACAAAACAAAGCAAAATATCTTTAATATCAAACCAAAACTGATAATGTGCTTTGAGTTAATGTTATTAAAGTATTTCAAGTTTATATTCTCAAAAATAATACTTTTATTAATTCATTTAAAGTATATAATATTATTGTTATATTATTCATTAGCATATCCAAATGCCAAATTCTTTTTGTACTTTGCAATAATAGATTTTGATGCCAGAAATCACAATTGCTGTTGTTTGAGAATGTTGTTCCATTTTGTGGTATGTAATTTTTGTGTATAATGCTTTGCCAAGATTTTTCCATTGAAATATGATGAAACGATGACGATGACGACGATGATGACGACGGCGATGATGATGATGCTGTGTAAGATTCGCAAACTTTACATATACGTATGTAATAAGCTTTCGCATAGTTCCAAATGTTTTATATTCATAGAATGAAAATCAACCTTAATTATGGATGCAAGGGATGTTAATCTTTCCCGTGTGCATTCGGGGTTGATCTCAAACCCAATTTTCCGAGAATTTTTTTACATAAATGGAAAAGATCTTCAACACTGCCACAAGTTATAACAAAAAGGTTAAAAAGGTCTAAATATTTTTCGTTATTTCATTCATAGTGCTAAAATTCATCATAAATGGAACAATTACCACTAACAGGTTCCACCTATATTGACTTACCTTCGTCATCTTCGATTTCGCCCAACCCCACATTTGCAACAACAGCCAACAACAACGGCATAAATAACGGTCTTGGAACAATAAAACGCTTTAAACCGATAGAGACTTGCGATAATTGCAAAGAACGCAAAGTTAAATGTGACAGAGAACGACCAATATGCGGAACATGTAACAGAACTAAACGAGAGTGCACATATAATTTCTCGGCTTCTTCGAAACGCGAGAGGCCAAGAAGCGAATATGAGATTCTACAAGAACAAATAGAAGAAGTGGCTACTATACAGTTTGACCAGTTAAATCAGCTGGAAAATATGCTAGAGAATTTAATTGGCAACAACGGTCTACCCCAAGCTACGGTGGCAGCACCTGGTCAGGGAGATTTCAATGATATAATCCAGAATGGTGGTGCAAGTAACTCTTATGTCGAGAATTTTATTCCTAATCCGATGGCCAATGTAAGTACAAAATCAGTAAAATACTTTTAAAACAATAACGTCATATTTGTTTTGACAAAATACATTTAATTGATTCAATATTTAGAATTTTTATGGAATGTATCAAACTGAAGAAATGTCTAGACCCAGTCTAAATCAGAGCATATCAGAAGAGACATTACAATTTACCGCTCAATTAGCCTCCACGCTACCTAAAACTAATAAACCTCCTTCGGTAAGTTTGATAAGGTTAATTCAATAATCTCACAAAATTCATTTATCACATTTATTAAGAAAAGTCCTTTTTTTTTTTTAGATCACTACAAACATCAACAACGCGTCGAGCCAATATACTAGTGATAATATGCAATTTTCAGATCCAGTAGATAAACTTACTGACGAACTAAATAGTTTAAACCTTTTCGAGTCTACAAGATACATTGGTGAAGGTTCTCTCTTGATGTTGAGTGATGGAGGCGAAGAAACAATAGTACCTCAAACACCAACAAACTTGTCGCAAGTAGAACCGGAACTTAAGCTTATACCCAATCCAGTTGCGGCAAAATATTTGATTGATTTGTATTATCAAGTAATCTAATCCCAAAATAGTTGTTTTTTCTATTAATGGTTTATTAAAAGTTATTAACATTTTATATTCTTTTTTAGCGAGTGTACCGTCATTACCCGCATTTACGGAGGAAGATTGTTGATGATTGTCTAGCGAATCTTTCAAAGCCGCAACATTTTCTTTTGCTCAATAGTATTTTCTTTGCGGCTTCGCCATTCCATGCTGATAAAGATTTGCGTGATGGAAAACCATATCATAAAGTATGTTCTAAGCATGTTTTCCGTGCGTTGATTTTGAAGTTATAATAAAAAAATTAATTTACGCGTCTTCATATTTTTTTGTATTTTATCAGAGAGCAATAGGTAAAACTAATTTATTGAAAAATGCATTTTTTAATTTCTAGCAATGAATCGGATGTTTTAATTTTGTTCTCTCTCTATTATAGCTCTATTACAAAATCACTGCTTACAAACGCCTCATGTCTTAACGGTCGTAAGTTTATTTATACTCGGCCTTCATACTAGAACGGTAAATTGATGGAAATTTGACTTGATATTCAATTTCACTCGAGTATTGATTGACTAACACCCAATTTGTTATGCAGATGGGATCTGCATGGATCTTTCATGGAATGGGTTCAAAAATGACCTTTGAGCTAGGGTTACATCGAAAAATTAAAAAAATCCAAATGAGTGATGCAATCAAAGAAATGCGAGATATGGCATTTTGGGGGTGTTTTGTTGCTGAAACGTTAGTTTTATTTTAAATTTATTTGATTTGCTTATTGAATCGGAAGGACTATCTTCTAAAATTATTCTTCTGTAATAGATGGGTTTCAGCATGTTATGGACGTCCTAGTGCTATTGATGAAGCTACTTGTGACGTTGATTTGCTTCCTATACCATCAGATCCAGAACCTGATGAAGAAACGCGACTTCATATTGCATGGATTCTTCACATCAATTTATTGCGTATTTTCGCTCAGGTATGAAAAAAACCTCAAAAGAAGATTACGAATTATTAATCTAAATTTTTCTAATAATAAATGTGTTTTTATGTAAAGGTACGAAAATATCTATACGGAAGATCAAAAATAGAAGGAACCAAGCGCGAAGAAAATCAGTTTAGATTTTTGGATGCGGCGCTTGGTCGTTGGTTTTACACCTTGCCAAACTGGTTGAAATTTGAAGAGATGGCAACTGACGTGAAGGGAAGTTTGCTAGGATCTATTGGAGGTAATTTTTTAACATTAATTTTTGGCATAGAATTATATCCTTGATAAATTAACAACTTATACAAATTGTATTCAAAAATTCAGGAGAAATGCACACACTCTTTTGGACAGTTCTAATTCTTCTTCATAGCCTAAATTTAACAATGTTCACCACAAGCCCAACGAATCCTACGCAAGAAGCGAATCGATTATCTTCGCAGACAATCTGCGTTCACGCAGCCACTATTCTTCTTCATTGGCTGGACGTACTTATGAACCAAGTTCCTGATTTCTTTGAACAATCATGCACGGCACTTTTTGCCATTGCACCTGCAATTCGGGTGCTAGCATGGACAACGCAACGAGGAGATACAAAAGCAGAAAGTATGGTTGAAAGACTCAAAGAAATAAAAAATGAAGTTAAAGAAATCGCGCGAAGGAGATTTGCATCTGGTCGATTAGACGGCGAAGAGAAACTACAAGGATGGTTTGGAAAACTCAAAGAGGAGGAAGCCAAAAATAATAAATCTCCAGAGGCCGCTGCTGCAAGTTCATCTTCACTTAGTCCCGATCAAGTCAAAAATCTCTCAGCAAGAGGAAGAAACCCTAATATAGCCAGGAGGCGAAATAACAAATCATCAGATTGGCGTGGTGAAACAGACAATTTTAAATTTACTTTTGATCCCGCTAGTCTTGAAAACTTTCATGAGCAAACTCAACAATCCATTCCTTTCCAAGTTTACACTGATCAACAGCAATTAGCGCCACATCAAACAGATTACAACAATCAAACTTATCCTGATATGCAGTTCTCTTCTACCTTGTCTCCACCTCCTAATATATCCTCCGCGTCCACCTCTCCACATCCAACGGTTCTTTCTCCGCATATAGACGCGCCGTTTAATACGCCAATATTTACTGGAATAAATAATTTTATTCAGCCACAACAACAATTGGATATTCATAATCCAGTGAATTTCTGGAATCCTTCACTCAATAATAATCAGTATGGAGTTGGATTTGACGCAAAAATTATGATGGAAAATGGTAGCAATATTGTTGGCCATAGCAACGAAGAATATGTGCCCACAATTTGATTTCTCGCATTTCATAATATTATAATTACCCTTCTCATGAATTTTGAATAATGATATCAACAGATATTTACTATAGGCATTGTAATGTAAATTTGATTAAATTCTTTTCACTATTACATATGCCGTCATTACAAAAATGACAACAAAATGGAATAATAAAGAAACTGATTAGATATTAATGACGTGTTGTTCATATAGTTGTTTTCAGTGTTGAATGTTGAACAACACCGAGAACAATGTTGAATATAAAAAGGTTCTCTTAGATATTATATTATTTAATATCCTTAATACAAAAAATATTAAAGTTTGTACATAAAATGAAGATTGAATTTTCTACACTGGTTGTTTCGACCAAATTTAAGGATAAATTCATGACATTAGTTCAAAAGTTTATTCTTTTTAATTTTAAGGAATATTTGAGTTTAATGACTAATCGATTTTTGAAAGTTATGTTTTGAAAGTTATGATTTATATGTATGTATGTATGTATGTATGTATGTTTTATCACAAGACAACATTAACAATAATACTAGAGGAGATAAAGCCACACTTGTCTCGCCACATATATGCTTGCAGTACCCAACCAGAATCCAACACACATACTTGTAATGTTTTCCTTTACATTTTGTGCAGCATTAGCAAAGAATGCTTTTTTTGTCGTATCTCGCGTATTAGATCCTTCTTTCAATAATTTATTCCAGGCATGATATTTTCTTGAGATGTTCGCGTATTTTACTTCTAAACGACTTACCCGCGTTTCAGTCATTGTGACTTTTAACGAGGCTCTTTGAAGAGTTTGTTCAATCATGTGAACTCTTTTTGCCACATTAAATGGATGGTACCGATTATTACGTATAGTTAGACGTTGTTGGTGTTGGTTACTGTTGTGATCCGTACCATTTCTTGTTGTTATAGTATTTGTAGTGTTATAATTTGTCGTGCTGGATCCGCCATTCTCTGGAAAATTACACAATATATGAATCTACTAAATATAGCGGCAGACAAAATCATCATAATATATACACCCACAAAGCTTAGATGATGAATGCAACAAAGTAAGCTTATGTAAATGTCACCTTGGTGATTAGTTTCTCGTCGCCATGTATCTGAATATTCTTCAACCGAATTTTCCATGTCATTTCCGCTTATAATATTATTTCGAGATTGATTTTCTTGATCAACTTTAATTTGAATGATTGCTTCTTTAATTTGACTGAATTCCTCCTCATATTTTTTCAACATGTCTTTCATTGATACAAGATCACGTAGAGTATTGTTGTCTTTATCTGACAATATCCCAGTTGGATCTGGTGTATCCTCAAAAAGCCTTTTCCGTTTTGATTTTTTTTTACTGTTATGATTATTACTATTATTTTTATTACTATTATTTTTATCACTAATAGTGTTTTTGTTTGTTTTTGATTTAAGATAATAATCAGCATCAGAATCAAAGTCAGAGTCTTCATCGTCATTATCATCATCTTCATCTTCATCATCATCTTCCTCCTCCTCATCTTTTTCATCTTCTCGTTCCAGCATTCGAGTTCTTTGTCTTGTCATTGGACCGTCTGATTCCAATATTCTATTAATAACATTATTGGTAGTCGGTATTTTTGTGGGAACTTTTCTTTTTGAGATACGCGATGATTTGTAGGTGCCTTTGATTTTTTGATTTAGTGTTTTCTTTTCCGATTCCTTTTGTTTATTCTTATTTTTATGCAGCGTCCATGATTTATTTTTAAAATTTCCGTGTTTCGAATCTGATTCAGAGTCGATTTCATCATTATTGTTATTATTATTAGCATGGATACCATTCTCATGAAACTTTCTGTGAAAACTTTGCGTCGTTATTGCTGACTCAACACCTTCATCTTCTTTCGCACTACAATTTGCTTGATCTTCTGCATCTTCGTCGTGTTCATTATTTATTCCATTTTTTACATAGTTAAAGGAAGAAGAGGAAGAAATTTTCCGAGATAACTGTAAAGGCGATTTCAAAGTACTAGTTTGAGAATTATTTGAGGCTTTAGTCGGTGAGTATTTTTTATTTGGTACAATAGCTTTTGTATTCTGGTTCCGTGTCGGGGTAAAGGGAAATGAAGTTGTTGGATTTCCAAGCCATTCTGTGTGACTGTTACCAATACCAGCAGCATTACCACTACCTCCTCCAAGGCCAAAGCCTTCGAAAAAGTTGGAGAATCCAACGTCATTCGCTCGAGGATCAACGAGGAACCGTGTTCCTCGTTGTTCTTTTGTGACTTTTCTTGCACAGCGCGCCACTTTTCTCTATGATTATTGTTATGCAGGAAAATGTGTTTTATTCTAAGAATCAAATTGATGGGTAACCTATCGCAATGTAAATTATCGTGTTAAAATGTTTATCTTTCTAGTTAGCTGTTAATACTGTTATACGTGAGCTCCTCGTCCAATATTTTACGTGTAGATCGACAAGTGTAAACATTTGAAACTTTGCAAATTATCCGTTTCGTCTGTCTAGATCTGATGTAGTGAAATTTCTTTATTTAAACTGTACTTATCTTACTAAAATTGGTCAATTTAAAGTATGGAATGAGCGAAAGGATAAAAATTGTCTTTCTTGACATATAAAAAACTACGCCTAAAAAAAATTAATGAGTTACTATTTAACATTTTCTTCTCGAACGCCATCGATTCAAGTATTCTCACACAGTTATTAGAGTTCAGTTCATCTGTAAAGATGGATTTCAATCCCAAGGCAATAATCAAGAAATGCAGTCACGAACAGTGAAGACTAACTAAAATCTCGATTAATATCTAGATTAGCTATAATAAATTCTGTAGATTTACTAGTGTTATAAACATATCAAATAAATTTTTTTTTGTAACAGTAACAGTAGATAATACAATAGCAGATGCATGTGTCCTTCTTTGGAATAGAATTTATCGTTATACAGTGAGATGTAATGACTATTCATTCTATTCATTCATGTGTAAATTGATGATCAACAGGATTTTTCAAGTCGAATTTTTTGTAATATATTAAAAAGAAAAAAAATTCGATAACGAGAAAACAATACTAAATATTAAAAAAAAAATCACTATCGTAATGACAAAAACTACTCGGAAAGCCAAAATTCTCGTGCTTCCTGGTGATAATGCAGGTCCTGAAGTAGTGGCCGAAGGCATCAAAGTATTAAAATTAGTTTCGAAAATACGATCAATTTATAACGGTGTAGAAATCGAATTGGTCGAAGAGAAAATTGGCGGTGCTGCTATCGATACAACAGGTTATTATTATATAGCTTATATGATGAATCGCATGTTTCTTGATGCTTATCACGTGATTATAATTAGGTGTCCCTCTTCCGGAGAAAACTCTAAACGCTGCCAAAGAATCTGATGCAATTCTTTTAGGTGCTGTTGGTGGTCCTCAATGGACATCTGAACCTCGTCCTGAGCAAGGACTTTTGGAAATTCGTAAAGCTTTGGATTTATATGCGAATCTTCGGCCTTGTTCATTTGCCAGTGACGCCCTTTATGAATATTCACCACTGAAAGAGAAAATTGTTAAGGGAACTGATTTTACAATTATCAGAGAATTAGTTGGTGGTATTTATTTTGGAGAAAGAAAAGAAGAAGATGCAAGTGGGAAAGGTTTATATCGATAATTAAAGTTCTCATTTACATTATTTTTGATTGTATGATTTTATTTAATGTTTTTCTATGATGAATCCTTATTTTTAGCATTGGATACTCTTCCATATTCAGTTGAGGAAGTGGAAAGAGTAACACGTCTCGCCGCACATCTTGCACTTCAAAAATCACCACCAGCCACTATACACTCAATTGACAAAGCCAATGTTTTAGCAACCTCAAGATTATGGCGTCGAGTTGTCACAGAAACACTCAAAAAAGAATTCCCAACAATCCCATTTAAGCATCATTACGTCGATGCGGCTGCAATGTTCCTGGTTAAAAGTCCAACACTATTGAATGGAGTAGTGCTCACTGAAAATCTATTTGGGGATATTTTGAGCGATGAAGCGAGTGTTATTCCCGGTAGTTTGGGTCTTTTGCCATCTGCCAGTCTCAGTGGTTTACCGGATGGAAAGAGTCGATGTCTTGGTTTATATGAACCTATTCATGGATCAGCACCTGATATTGCAGGAAAAGGTATCGTTAATCCGATCGCCACGATTCTTAGTGTCGCTCTATTGCTGAGATATTCATTAAATCTGGAACGAGAGGCAAAAGCAGTAGAAGATTCCGTTCGAAAAGTATTGGATGGTGAAGACTTTGGTGGTTTCGGGTATCGTACAAAAGATTTAGGCGGTGATAAATCAACATCTCAAGTCGGTGATCAAGTTATCGAAGTATTAGAAGGTTATTTGGAAGGATTGAATGCAGAAGATCGTGTTTCGGCTGTAATTCCACATCGGAGTCTTTTATTGAAAAGACCCGAAGGTAGACGTGGGATGACTCTGTGTGAAAAAACTATTGCGCATGCTGCGATTGGTTTGCCTGCACCTGGTCATGTGAAACCCGGTGATATGGTCTGTGTCTCTGTTGATTGGACATTGGCATCGGAACTTACATGGAAAGGAATGGAAAAAACATTTGACATAATGGGACGGCCAAATATTTATCGTAACGATCGATTCTGGCTTGCAATTGATCACACAGTAGATCCACGTATCAATCATTTGCAAAAACCTGCGGAATTAATTCAAGCATCCGAAAAATTCGCTAAGGAAGCTAAACTTATTGATTTTTATAAACCAAATGTCACAATCCTGCACACTGAATTTTACCGTGAACGAGCACAACCTGGTCAAATGATTATTGGGGCAGATTCTCATTCATGTTCGGCTGGGGCAGTTAGTGCTTTTGCCGTTGGTTTAGGTGCAGCTGATGTTGTGATGCCTTTGGTGACTGGCGAAACTTGGTTCAAAGTACCGGAAACCGTGGAAATTCGATTTGTTGGAAAGCCTCCATTCGGTATTGGTGGAAAAGATGCAATTCTTTACGTGTTGGGTGAATTGAAACGTAATACTGTGGCATTTGAACGTGCAGTTGAATATACTGGTCCAGGTTTAAAATATATGTCATGTGATGCAAGATTCGCTCTTTCAAATATGACCACTGAATTTGGTGGCATTGCTGGAGTATTTGAAGGCGACGAAATCACCGCAGCATTTATCGCTAAACGCAAAAATCCAGCTCACAAGAACTCTGCTCTCTATTTCCGTGCTGATCCTGATGCTCAATACGCTGAAACTCATATCATTGACTTATCAAAAGTCGATTCACTAATCGCATTATATCCATCTCCAGATAATATCGTGCCAGTTCGAAAAGCTCAAGGAATGAAACTTGACGGTGTCTTTATTGGCGCATGTACTACAGCTGAAGAAGATTTAATTCTCGCGGCTATGGTATTGGAACAAGGTTTGAAAAAAGGATTAAGGCCAACGATACATGGTAAACGAAAGGTGACTCCGGGTAGTTTGCCAATTGTTGCTAAATTGCGTCGACTTGGTCTTTTGAAAGTTTATGAACAAGCTGGATTTGAGATTGGGGCACCTGGTTGTTCTTATTGTATTGCTGTTGCTGCTGATCGTGCTGGTGAAGGTGAAGTTTGGTTAAGTAGCCAAAACAGAAACTTTAGAAATCGCATGGTAAGTGCATTCTTAATTAGATTATACTTTATTGTTATATTCATTTAATTATCAGTTAATTTATTTATCTATTCTGTGAAATATAGGGTAAAGGAGCAATCGGTAATTTGGCGTCAGCAGCGACAGTAGCTGCTTCTTCATTCGAAATGCAAATTTGTGATCCAAAAGGACTTTTAGATCTAATCGATCGTGCACGATACGAAGAATACCTTGAACAATGGCTACAAAAAGGCGAACCAATAATAATTTCTGAGCCTAGTCCCGTTTTAGTGGATCCTAATAGCGAACAATCAAAAGATTCTCTCGCAACATCACAAACAGAATCATCCTTACCATCTTCCATAACCGGTAAAGTACAGCGATTTGAGGACAATGTTGATACGGACGCAATTATCCCTGCGCAATTTATGCCCGGGACAAGTGACGAGGATCTTGGGTCGCATGCTTTCCAATATGTGAGACCTGAGTTTATAAACAAAGCAAAAGAAGGATCTACGATCGTTGTTGGTGGTTCCGGTTTTGGATCTGGATCATCTAGAGAAGAGGCACCAAGAGCTTTGAAAGGAGCTGGAATTCAGGCAGTTATTGCTAAAAGTTATGCTTATATTTATGGCAGAAATCAGGCAAGAATAATAACAGTCACTTTATTATTACTTGGTTTTATTCATTCGATTCAATGGGTTAATAAATTTATTCTCTTTCCTACGAATTTTAATAACATTCATTTGATTTAGCCTAATATGGCATTACTGGGTATAACAGTATCAGACGAAGAGTTCTATAATCTAGCTCAAGAAGACGCCGAAGTAACAATCAACGTCAAAAATCGCAAAGTAAAAGTCAACGACAAAGAATTCAAATTTGATTTGTCAGAAATGGAAGAGAAATTGATTGCGGCTGGCGGTGTCACAGAGATGTATAAAAACTATGGCGCAAACCTGTTTAGAGCTGCGGTTGGATTAGAAGGAGCATCGTCAGGTGTAGGAAGTTGTGGGACTGAGGCTTCTTCAGGAGTCAAGGATTGTGGAACTGGAGGAAAGGAGTTGGCGTGGTAATTAGTAATAGCTAGTCATATGAAAAAATTGTTTAGATTTTCTGTATTTATCAAGCACTCGAACCTTTTTTTGTTTTTGTATTTAAATTAAAAATGTATTCTTTTTGGTTAGATAGTAACTATTTATGAGTTTTATTAATAAAAAACGAAAACGGTGAAATTCATGTTTTATAACGATAATAATTAAATGAAAAAATCAATAAAATTTGATACAAATTTTTATATACGTATCTTTTGAACTACCATATTTTTACAAAAGCCTGTCTTTCTAAAAGCATCTTCACCAGTAAAAATCATATTTTTTTAATAAAATCAATTAATGTAATTATAGCTATTTCAATAATTAAGAACAGATTATTGTCTAGCTAGAGTAATATGATCATTTAATATCTTTTCAAAACTTCAATTACACTTTATTTATATAAAATTTGTTCACTAAATTATATTTAATAAAAATAAATATATTTGTAACAACTATTATTTGTAATAACTATATTTTAATTGGCTAATTAAAATCTGAATTAGAATTAAAATCAAGATTCTGAATATATAATTGATTAATATTAAAGTTGTTATATACAGTCAAACCTCTCTATAGTCACATCCATTTATAGTCACACCTCTCTATAGTCACCCTATTTTGCTTTCCCATTTACATATAAATATAGTAAAAAAACTCCTCTATAGTCACATTCTCTCTATAATTATCAAATTTTGCTTTCTTGAGGATGGTGACTATAGAGAGGTTTGATTATATAATAGTTATTATAATTAAATTGATTTTTAATAATAATTATATATTAATAAATAATAAAATAATAAAAATTGTGTAAATTTTTATTATAAAATTTTTTATAAATTGAATTTCATTTTAATTATAACCAGTTTTGCATCAATATTTGCATTATATATATAATAAAATTAATTTTATCTTTTTTATAATTGAACAGACATATTAATTAATAATTAATTGAATGAACATATTAATATTGGAATTAGAGTTCTAAAAAAAAGGCTAATTTAGTTTGAACCAGACTCAAATCTGATCAAAAGTCTAATTCAAAAATTTGAATCCAATTAAAAGTCTGATTTGAATTCAATTTGAACTTCAAATTAAATTTGAATCTAATCAAAAATTCAATTTGAGTTCAAGTAAATGTTCAATAAACTTTCAAGTAAAGTTATAGATCAGAATTAGAGTTATAAATTGATATAAGATAATTAATATTGAAAATAAATATTCAAAAAGATATTTAGATTTAAAAATTATTTTTAATTTTTATATTTTTAATTCAATTTAGTTACTTTATAATAATATTTATTTTGCTATAGTAATAATAAACTATAATATTATAATTAGAAATAAGAGCTATAATTGATATAAGATAGTTGCTATTAATAATAATTATTCAAAAAGATATATAGAATTTATAATAAAATTTAATAATTATAAAAATAAAAATAATTTAGTTGTCACTAAATAAACTTTTAATTTTTATTAAATAGTATAATTGGTACTTATAATTAAAATATTAAAGTTATAGCTCTTATTTAGGACTACAAATTAATATATAATATTATATATTAATCTTTAATCAAATTTGAATTAAACTTAAACTTATATAATAATTCAGTTCAAACTTTAAACTTTTCTCCAACTCAAGCCAAAATCTGATTTGAGTTTAATTTGAATTTTGAATCAGACTTAAACTTAGACAAAAATCTAGTTTAATTTAGTTTAGTTTATAAAAATATTAGTTAGAATTACTAAATATAAAAATAAAAAAATATATATTTTACACTAATAATTTTAACTAATTTAATTATATTTGATTTAAAAATTTTTATCAAAATTCAAAAGTTTATCAAGCTAAAATTATTAAATATTATTTTAATAAATAAAATTTAATTGCTAAAATATTAAAATTTAAAATTAAATCAAAATTCAAATTAATTTTAAAGCTAAAATATTTTATTTTAAATTTTAATCTAAATTTTGATATAACTTTGAATTTTGATATAATTTTGCATTTTAATATTATTATAAAAACTATTTATTATTTGTTTTATATTAATAAAAAATATAATAACAAACAAAATTATAAAATCATATATGTAATTTTATTAATAAAATATAGTAAAAATTAAAATTTTTGTTTTATATAAGTTTTTAATTTTATTAATAAATATTTTTATTTTTATATTAAAATAAAGATTATAAATTATATTTTAATATATATTTTTTCTGGATTTTTTTCTGATAAAATTATTTTGATTACAAAATTATTACAAAAATTCTTTATATTAAAATATAAATAAAATCAATTATAAAAAATTTTTGCAATAACTTTATAATTAGAACAATTTTATCAGAAAAAATCTAAAAAATCCAGAAAAAATATATAAAAATAAAAATATTTATTAATAAAATTGAAAATTTATATATAATAACTTATTATAAATTATTATATATTTAAAAATTTTGATAGTATTATTACTATTCTTAAATAGATAGACAAGATATTAACTAATTATAGTAATTAATTAAAATTATATAAAAATGATAATAGTAATTATATATATTTGAGAGAATTGGATATTAGATAATTGAGAGAGAGTATAAAAAGAAATAGATTCTAATATTTCATTAATTGGACAAGTATTTTATAATTCAAAAATACAAATAATTTATTAAAATACAAAAAAATAACTATTATTAGTTGAATAAGTTAAATTTAAGTAAATAAAGATTATTTAAAAATATTAATTAACTTTTATACTTTTATTACTTTCAAATCACTTGATAATTATTTTATTCTATATTAAATTACATCTGTTTAAATACATATAAATATAATATAGATTTACATAATGAGTAACATTATTTAAAAATAATTATAAAATTAATTTAAAAGAAGTGTAATAATAAGTATAATACTAATTTAATCTAAGTAATACAAGTTAAATTAAAGTAATATTAACACTATATTAATTAATATTAAACAAAATTAATTTAAAATAGAATAGATTTAAATTTAATAATATTTTAATAAAATAAATAATGCAATATTAAAAGAATTAATTGGTATTTTGAATAAATTATATGTTGTTGTATAATGACCTTTCATTATAATATTTTATTATTGGATTATAAATATCTCATATATTATTGGATAAAGATCATATCAC